GGGTCAGCATAAAAGAAGAACACCACCCCATACCCAGACCCACACCCACAAAGTAGTAACATATATTTTTACGCATAGAATTTATTTGTAGATTGTTCTTCGATTTTCGACGATGCCATACTAAATATAAGAGAGATATTAGAATTTTAATGTTTTCAAATGGCTTTTACCTGCTGAGTGAGTGAGTGTGGATCTAGCTCTGGATATATTTGAGTCAATATCTATCGTCAAAATCTTATGAATTATACTCAACAATAGTGATCAACACGTGTTCATGGTGGGAAAGTACCATTTCTTCATATATGAAAAAAAAATATCATAATAAACCTGACGTTTTCAAACATGTAGTAGCGGCGCCAGGATTTCAGTTCAGGGTGGGCTCATCATGGGTTGAGCCCACCCTAACCCACACAAAGTGTTCTTTTTACATAGCTTTCAAAATCTTTCAGGGTGGGCTCGATGTAAATCAGGGTGGGCTGAGCCCACCCTGGCCCACCCCTGGCGCCGCCACTACAAACATGTCTATAAACTATTCGCTAACTAACATTTGTCAGCACAAATAATAGTTCAATGGTCGCACACAATTCTATGTAAATACCCTCGCAACGATCTTATTTTTAAATAATAAAGAAATCGTGTTTATTACTTCGTATTACCTCTCAATAGCTACAAAAAACAACAACTTAAAATGAAATCTAATATTTAACTACTAAAACAACTTTTCGTTTATAGAACACTATTATCCCGAGAAAACAAATATTTTTATCATGATTCAAAAAAAAAACAAACAATTCTATACATCACAGATGATGTTAAAGTTTGCATCTAATCTGTGACTTTCCCATATATAGTCTCTTAAAAAGTGTCGAAAAACTTAGTTAGTTATTTATAAGAAGAAAATTATCAAAAATAGATGCATACCAACTATTTTGAATCGAGAATGCGCTGCTCAACTTATTCGAATATCTAATGTGTAAAGCAATTTGACTGTTTGTTTAATACTGTGTTTCTTTTTTCTTATACCAGCAAAGCAACACTGTAAACACATATATAGATAAATTGATGTGAAAGAGACAATTTTCAACGATTGAAAAGTTTCAAGAAAAAATTATAAAACTAATCTCTATAAACAAAACTGTGAAATCAAACTATAATTTTAGATCCAACCAATTTTTTTATCAGTAATGAAATTAAATTTTTAAGTCTTTATTTTCTATTAGCAATAAGCTACATTTTTATAAGTTTTCTTTTTAATAATTCTTAAAATAAAATAAATTGATTCGTTTTCTTTTTTGTTAATATGCTCTGAATACATTTCGATGAATGACGTATAATTGTTACATATATAATATTCACCTATAAGACGCTCACATGTTTCTCTTTTTGTTTCTACTCTTGCATATGCATGCTCTTGACGATAAAAACAAATATTTCAAGCCATTTTTTTTTCGAATACCTGTATAAAATATATAACCATGTTGATAACTATTAGTTTTATTATTGTTTTATATATATTTTATCGTTTATATGAACATTTTATTGGAGCAGGAAATATAAATCCAAATGGTAAATATGTTCTTATAAGTGGTTGTGATAGTGGATTTGGTCATGGTTTAGCTATTGAGCTTGATAAACAAGGTTTTAATGTATTTGCTGGTGTTTATACTCGTGATAGTATAATATCTCTTAAAGGAAAACTTTCATCGCGAGCTACAGTTTTTCGTCTTGATATAACTAAACAAGAAGATATTGATGATGCATTTGAATTAGTCAACAATAAAACAAAAGTTCTTCATGCACTTATTAATAATGCTGGTATAGGTACATTTGGATATATTGATTGGATATCAATGGAAGTTATTAAGAAAATAATGGATGTTAATTATATTGGACATGTTGCAATGACAAAGAAATTTTTACCATTACTTATAGCTAAACGTGATTCACGTGTTGTTAATACTAGTTCTGCCGTCGATTATCTTAGTTTACCAAGTTCATCTGCTTACTGTGCATCGAAATGTGCACTTGAATCATTTTCTGATTGTTTACGTCGTGAAATGGTTCCATGGGGTTCACATGTTAGTGTTATTGAACCAGGTGCAATGAGAACACCCATTCTAGAAACAAGTCGTGGATCATTTGAACATTTTTGGAGTCAAATTTCAAGTGATGCTAAACAACGATGGGGAGAATATTTTATTAAAACCGAATATAATATTATGCAAGAAAGTCCACTCTTCAAATTTGCCGAAGATCCTATAAAAGTTGTGCGAGCTCTTCAACATGCTGTTATGAATAAATCTCCTCATATTCGTTATCGACCTGGTTGGCAATCAACTTTTATTTTATATCCACTTTCGAATTTACCTGTTCGAATTATCGACTGGCTTCTCAATGCATTAAACAAATCACGTGATCCTCCAACAGGTGTTTACCAACAACTTAAAGACTAATGTATTTTAGTTAGTGAAACGAAATAATATTTTTTTTTTTAATACACAATGGCGCTCAAAATTGTTCGTACATCTGACAAATGACCTTGTTGCTTGAATATTTCAACATGAATTCAATATACAGAGGTGCGGTTTTCGCCATGATGTACCCCATTTATCATAGATATTTTGCTGAAAGTTTCACCTGTCTGAGTCCTATATTTGTTGTGATAGACAAAAAAAATTAAAAATGAGGTCGTTTGATTTGACTCAAAATTGTTTGTACACCTAACAAATGGATCAAAATACATTGAACTCTCAGTATTTTCTCTTCAACGAAAAGACAGTTTTTTTAATGGAAAGATTCGTCATGAAATTTTCTACAAGCTGGTTTATTTCACTTTGATTAAATGCCATTTAACACATTAGCGTTTATCTTGTCAAGCAAATTCATTTCAATCTAAACTATGCTGAATGGTATTTAATCAAAATGAAATACACCAACTTGCAGAAAATTTCACGACGAATCTTTACATTAAAAAAAGACTGTCTTTTTCTTGAAGAGAAAATACTGAGAGGTCAATGTATTTTGCTCCATTCGTTGGTTGTATGAACAATTTTGAGCGCCATTGTACATAGCATATTTTGATTTTTTATTTCTTGTAAATATTAACATGAAATTTCTTTTAAAATATTCATTGAAGCAATTGATATAATTTTGAAATGAGATTCAAAAGAAAGGCATAGTTATGAAATCTATTTTAATGCTTTTTCTTCTCATAAATTCTCATCATTTTATTAGTGAATAAATCAATGGAAGAATCTTCAGTGGATTCAAATCTAAATATCAAGTCGCTAAATAAGTTATTAATCACTAA